GGGGAATGTAGGCTAGTATCTGAGTGATTGGGAATGTATGCTAGTATCTGATTGGGGGGAATGTAGGCTAGTATCTGATTGGGGGGAATGTATGCTAGTATCTGATTGGGGGGAATGTAGGCTAGTATCTGATTGGGGGGAATGTATGCTAGTATCTGATTGGGGGGAATGTAGGCTAGTATCTGATTGGGGGGAATGTAGGCTAGTATCTGATTGGGGGGGAATGTATGCTAGTATCTGAGTGACTGGGAATGTATGCTAGTATCTGATTGGGGGGAATGTATGCTAGTATCTGATTGGGGGGAATGTAGGCTAGTATCTGATTGGGGGGAATGTAGGCTAGTATCTGATTGACTGGGAATGTAGGCTAGTATCTGATTGGGGGGAATGTATGCTAGTATCTGATTGGGGGGAATGTATGCTAGTATCTGATTGGGGGGAATGTAGGCTAGTATCTGATTGGGGGGGAATGTATGCTAGTATCTGATTGGGGGGAATGTAGGCTAGTATCTGAGTGACTGGGAATGTATGCTAGTATCTGAGTGACTGGGAATGTATGCTAGTATCTGATTGGGGGGAATGTATGCTAGTATCTGATTGGGGGGAATGTATGCTAGTATCTGATTGGGGGGAATGTAGGCTAGTATCTGATTGGGGGGGAATGTAGGCTAGTATCTGATTGACTGGGAATGTAGGCTAGTATCTGATTGGGGGGAATGTATGCTAGTATCTGATTGGGGGGAATGTATGCTAGTATCTGATTGGGGGGGGGAATGTAGGCTAGTATCTGATTGGGGGGAATGTATGCTAGTATCTGATTGGGGGGAATGTAGGCTAGTATCTGAGTGACTGGGAATGTATGCTAGTATCTGAGTGACTGGGAATGTATGCTAGTATCTGATTGGGGGGAATGTATGCTAGTATCTGATTGGGGGGAATGTTATGCTAGTATCTGATTGGGGGGGAATGTAGGCTAGTATCTGATTGGGGGGAATGTAGGCTAGTATCTGATTGGGGGGGAATGTAGACTAGTATCTGATTGGGGGGAATGTAGGCTAGTATCTGATTGGGGGGAATGTAGGCTAGTATCTGATTGGGGGGAATGTAGGCTAGTATCTGATTGGGGGGAATGTAGGCTAGTATCTGATTGACTGGGAATGTAGGCTAGTATCTGATTGGGGGAATGTATGCTAGTATCTGATTGGGGGGAATGTAGGCTAGTATCTGATTGGGGGGGAATGTAGGCTAGTATCTGATTGGGGGGAATGTAGACTAGTATCTGATTGGGGGGAATGTAGGGCTAGTATCTGATTGGGGGGAATGTAGACTAGTATCTGATTGGGGGGAATGTATGCTAGTATCTGATTGGGGGGGAATGTAGACTAGTATCTGATTGGGGGGAATGTAGGCTAGTATCTGATTGGGGGGAATGTAGGCTAGTATCTGATTGGGGGGGAATGTAGGCTAGTATCTGATTGACTGGGAATGTAGGCTAGTATCTGATTGGGGGGAATGTATGCTAGTATCTGATTGGGGGGGAATGTATGCTAGTATCTGATTGGGGGGGATGTAGTGCTAGTATCTGATTGGGGGGAATGTATGCTAGTATCTGATTGGGGGGAATGTATGCTAGTATCTGATTGGGGGGAATGTAGGCTAGTATCTGATTGGGGGGAATGTAGGCTAGTATCTGAGTGGTGGGGAATGTAGGCTAGTTCTGATTGGGGGGAATGTAGGCTAGTATCTGATTGGGGGGAATGTAGCTAGTATCTGATTGGGGGGAATGTAGACTAGTATCTGATTGGGGGGAATGTAGGCTAGTATCTGATTGGGGGGAATGTAGCTAGTATCTGATTGGGGGGAATGTAGGCTAGTATCTGAGTGTGGGGAATGTAGGCTAGTATCTGATTGGGGGGAATGTATGCTAGTATCTGATTGGGGGGAATGTATGCTAGTATCTGATTGGGGGGAATGTATGCTAGTATCTGATTGGGGGGAATGTAGGCTAGTATCTGATTGGGGGGAATGTATGCTAGTATCTGAGTGATTGGGAATGTATGCTAGTATCTGATTGGGGGGAATGTAGGCTAGTATCTGATTGGGGGGGAAAGTAGCGTAGTATCTGATTGGGGGGAATGTATGCTAGTATCTGATTGGGGGGAATGTAGCTAGTATCTATTGATACTGTATTGTTGGGGGGGAGATATGATTATGGGCTGTATGCTGTATGATTGGGGGGAATGTAGCTTAGATATGTTCTGAGTGATGGAGAAGTAATGCTAGTATCTGATTGGGGGGAATGTATGCTAGTATACTGAGTGATTGGAATGTAGGCTAGTATCTGATTGGGGGGAATGTAGGCTAGTATCTGATTGGGGGGAATGTAGCTAGTATCTGATTGGGGGGAATGTAGGCTAGTATCTGATTGGGGGGAATGTAGACTAGTATCTGATTGATGGGAATGTAGCTAGTATCTGATTGGGGGGAATGTAGCTAGTATCTGATTGGGGGGAATGTAGGCTAGTATCTGATTGGGGGGAATGTAGCTAGTATCTGATTGGGGGGAATGTAGACTAGTATCTGATTGGGGGGAATGTAGGCTAGTATCTGATTGGGGGGAATGTAGACTAGTTATCTGATTGGGGGGGGAATGTAGCTAGTATCTGATTGGGGGGAATGTAGGCTAGTATCTGATTGGGGGGAATGTATGCTAGTATCTGATTGGGGGGAATGTAGACTAGTATCTGATTGGGGGGAATGTAGGCTAGTATCTGATTGGGGGGAATGTAGGCTAGTATCTGAGTGAGGGGAATGTTAGACTAGTATCTGAAATTTGGGGGGAATGGTGACTGGGGGGAGTAGTATTCTGATTGGTTGGGAATGTAGGGCTAGTATCTGATTGGGGGGAAGGAGTAGATGTGGGAGGCTAGTATCTGAGTGATTTGGGAATGTATGCTAGTATCTGATTGGGGGGAATGTAGCACTGAGTATCTGATTGGGGGGAATGTAGGCTAGTATCTGATTGGGGGGAATGTAGGCTAGTATCTGATTGGGGGGAATGTAGGCTAGTATCTGATTGGGGGGAATGTATGCTAGTATCTGATTGGGGGAATGTATGCTAGTATCTGATTGGGGGAATGTATGCTAGTATCTGATTGGGGGGAATGTAGTGCTAGTATCTGATTGGGGGAATGTAGGCTAGTATCTGATTGGGGGGAATTAGGCTAGTATCTGATTGGGGGGAATGTATGCTAGTATCTGATTGGGGGAATGTAGACTAGTATCGATTGGGGGGAATGTATGCTAGTATCTGATTGGGGGAATGTATGCTAGTATCTGATTGGGGGAATGTATTCTAGTATCTGATTGGGGGGAATGTAGCTAGTATCTGATTGGGGGGAATGTATGCTAGTATCTGATTGACTGGGAATGTAGGCTAGTATCTGATTGGGGGGAATGTATGCTAGTATCTGATTGGGGGGAATGTAGGCTAGTATCTGATTGGGGGGAATGTATGCTAGTATCTGATTGGGGGGAATGTATGCTAGTATCTGATTGGAGGGAATGTATGCTAGTATCTGATTGGGGGAATGTATGCTAGTATCTGATTGGGGGGAATGTAGGCTAGTATCTGATTGGGGGGAATGTATGCTAGTATCTGATTGGGGGGAATGTATGCTAGTATCTGATTGGGGGGAATGTATGCTAGTATCTGATTGGGGGAATGTATGCTAGTATCTGATTGGGGGAATGTATGCTAGTATCTGATTGGGGGGAATGTATGCTAGTATCTGATTGGGGGGAATGTAGGCTAGTATCTGATTGGGGGGAATGTATGCTAGTATCTGATTGGGGGGAATGTAGGCTAGTATCTGAGTGAGTGGGAATGTAGACTAGTATCTGATTGGGGGGAATGTAGGCTAGTATCTGAGTGATTGGGGGGAATGTAGACTAGTATCTGATTGGGGGGAATGTAGCTAGTATCTGATTGGGGGGAATGTATGCTAGTATCTGATTGGGGGAATGTAGGCTAGTATCTGAGTGATTGGGAATGTAGACTAGTATCTGATTGGGGGGAATGTAGACTAGTATCTGATTGGGGGGAATGTAGGCTAGTATCTGATTGGGGGGAATGTAGGCTAGTATCTGATTGGGGGGAATGTATGCTAGTATCTGATTGGGGGGAATGTAGGCTAGTATCTGATTGGGGGGAATGTAGACTAGTATCTGATTGGGGGAATGTAGGCTAGTATCTGATTGGGGGGAATGTAGGCTAGTATCTGATTGGGGGGAATGTAGGCTAGTATCTGATTGGGGGAATGTAGGCTAGTATCTGATTGGGGGGAATGTCAGACTAGTATCTGATTGGGGGGAATGTAGGCTAGTATCTGATTGGGGGGAATGTAGGCTAGTATCTGATTGGGGGGAATGTAGGCTAGTATCTGATTGGGGGGAATGTAGGCTAGTATCTGATTGGGGGGAATGTAGGCTAGTATCTGATTGGGGGGAATGTATGCTAGTATCTGATTGACTGGGAATGTAGGCTAGTATCTGATTGGGGGAATGTAGGCTAGTATCTGATTGGGGGGAATGTAGGCTAGTATCTGATTGGGGGGAATGTATGCTAGTATCTGATTGGGGGGAATGTATGCTAGTATCTGATTGGGGGGAATGTAGCTAGTATCTGATTGAGGGGAATGTAGGCTAGTATCTGATTGGGGGGAGTATGCTAGTATCTGATTGGGGGAATGTAGCTAGTATCTGATTGGGGGGAATGTATGCTAGTATCTGATTGACTGGGAATGTAGGCTAGTATCTGATTGGGGGAATGTAGGCTAGTATCTGATTGGGGGGAATGTATGCTAGTATCTGATTGACTGGGAATGTAGGCTAGTATCTGATTGGGGGGAATGTAGGCTAGTATCTGAATTGGGGGGAATGTATGCTAGTATCTGATTGGGGGGAATGTAGGCTAGTATCTGATTGGGGGGAATGTTTGGCTAGTATCTGATTGGGGGAATGTATGCTAGTATCTGATTGGGGGGAATGTATGCTAGTATCTGATTGGGGGGAATGTATGCTAGTATCTGATTGGGGGGAATGTATGCTAGTATCTGATTGGGGGGAATGTATGCTAGTATCTGATTGGGGGGAATGTAGGCTAGTATCTGATTGGGGGGAATGTATGCTAGTATCTGATTGGGGGGAATGTATGCTAGTATCTGATTGGGGGGAATGTATGCTAGTATCTGATTGGGGGGAATGTATGCTAGTATCTGATTGGGGGGAATGTATGCTAGTATCTGATTGGGGGGAATGTATGCTAGTATCTGATTGGGGGGAATGTAGGCTAGTATCTGATTGGGGGGAATGTAGGCTAGTATCCGATTGGGGGGAATGTATGCTAGTATCTGATTGGGGGGCATGTAGGCTAGTATCTGATTGGGGGGAATGTAGGCTAGTATCTGAGTGACTGGGAATGTAAGCTAGTATCTGAGTGATGCTGTCTCTCCTCTCATAGGCTGACTCACCCTCTCTCTCCTCTCATAGGCTGACTCACCCTCTCTCTCCTCTCATAGGCTGATATCACAAAGTGCGTGGTGAACACGGACCCCAGCTTCCGCTCCCATTGGTTGGTGTCTGCTACCTGCGCCTGTGGACATTACCTGAAGGCCATGGTGTTTCACCTGCTCCGGGACAAGTGACAACGGAGGAGGAGGAGGAGTTGGATCACGACCACATAATGGACAGCCTGCCACATCCACCAGTGTAGGACAGGAGAGCCGTGGTCCCAGATCTGTTTTGGGCTATCATGACAACTCTATTGCTGTCATTGTCAAGCCAAAACGTGTTTTGTTTTGTGTGTTTCAAACAAGGAGTTTGTCATGACAATGAGTGACAAGGAGTTGTCATGACAATGAGTGACAAGGAGTTGTCATGACAGCCCAAACAGACTGACACTCAGAGCCAGCATCTGTTTAAGCTGTAGCTATCACTGCTCTAGGGTCTAGATATGTTGTTGTTTACACCTGCAGAAGTTTGCACTGAACCTCCACCACTGCCACTGACGAGCACCTTGGGCCTTCACAAACAAACAAACAAACAAACAAACAAACAAACAAACGCACTGGCCTGGAGCGTCAATGTGAATTAGCTTGTTAGCTATGTCTGCTTTGAACACCCCGTCAGGTTATTTATTATTTCGCTTGACAGTAATATTGTGACGTACAGATCCTCAAGCTGGATTGTGAGGTAGTAGTCTAGTCAACAAGATCCATACCATCAACATTTGACTTGAATGGGAATGCCCATTCTAATTATTATATTTCTGTGTCTGGATCTCTGTTTTTCTTTAGCTCCCTCAGAGAGAGTCACATTCCTTGCTTTCGTTATGCTTGCATAGACTGGTTAACTGACGAATTCGCAAAAAACCATGCACGCGCTTCAAAGAGGCAGAAGGCCTTGTGTTGTGATTCTGGATGACCAGATAGCTAGCAACAATGACAAGAAACTGCCATGTGGGGAATCGTAAGTGGCTCGTTTCAGCTCGTTTGATCTTGTTCTTGATACCATGTCTTGTTTTGACTGATGTCACGTCTATGCTAATATGGCTCAAATGTGCTAGCTAGCTAGCTAACCAACAACTGTAACAATGTATTTGAGAGACAAGTGCTCATTGTGCAACTTTATTTATGTTTTCAATAAACATTGTAGATTAAGTATAGTTTACATGTTGTCAACAATCTAAGCCAACCCCGTCTGTTTTGCCCCATAGTTGCTAAACAACCAACCCTCCCATTACTCCTGGGCAAATATTCAATTTAAAGCAATGGAATATTTGTATAAATTTTGAGTTTCATTTCTGCATACATACTGTATGTCAAGTGGAGTGGGGATATGGCCCAGACAGAGTGGGAGAATCTCAATTGCATTTCCTTGATTCCTTGATTCCTCTCCTCACCTCCTCAACCTATTGGATGAGCAGGTCAGAGCGCAGGGACGATTGGTTTTGAGGAGGCGAGAGGATGTGAGGAGTCAAAGCGATGCAGTTGAGATTCTCCCAGTGCTTCTGTTGTCAGCCCCCCTAGTGGCGGACAACAAGAATGACCGAAACGCCTGAGACGACGGTGTGAGATCACAGATGAATGAAAAGGATCATGGACTTCACTACATTTACATTTACGTCATTTAGCAGATGCTCTTATCCAGAGCGACTTACAAAAAGGTGCATTCACCTTATAGCCAGTGGGATAACCACTTTACAACACTAAAGTGCTATAATTATGAATTCCTCCGTTTTGGATGGAAATATGGTTTAGATTATAAAGTGTACCTGCATGCTCCAATACTCCATGTATGTGATGAATGTGTGGATTTATATAATTCACCCAGATTTTGTGTGTTGTGTGTGTGTGTGTGTGTGTGGGGGAGGGGGGGGGGGGGGGGGGCTGTTTTTGTAGAATATTGTGCAATTTATGGATCACTCCATCATCAGAAACTTAAATCACATTCAGAAATGTTTTGTCTGTTTTTATTCTACAAATTACTTTTATTTTGTGAATGACTACACAGTAGCTTACACATACACTATATTTGGCATGCAGCACTTGAGTGTCTTCAGAAATAAAATGTTTTATGTTTCAACATTGTTTTAATTGGTTTCATTAACGTCAGCGTTCATACATTGAAAATGGATAGCTACCGATTTTGCCTACTTTCAAGTGAATGGCCCAAATAGTCTCAAGTCTGCCATATACAGTCTTGAATCGCCAACTTATTTATCATGATTTACTGCCATCTAGTGTCCAATACAATGATTTCGCCAAACGTTTTTCTGGAATATGAGAGATCCTTCATTCTGGTCACATTGGGAAAACTGTAGGATACAGATTAAATATTTGTATGGTATAAAAAGATGCTTGAACGTTACCGTAGTAAATAATACAACTTCCCCATAGATGTAAATAATGTAATATGGCTCAACATAATGGTACTTTAAAGGCAGTTATTACGTGTAATAACAGGGGAGAAGTACTGTGTGTTCTTAGGCACGCTCTCTACAATGCCCCTTCCTTCTCTCTGTCTCCCCTCCTGGAGGACCTGAGCCCTAGGACCATGCCTCAGGACTACCTGGCCTGATGACTCCCGGCTGTCCCCAGTCCACCTGGTCGTGCCGCTGATCCAGTTTCTGCTGTCCTGCCTGCTGCTGTGAACCCCTGACCTGATTCGCCGGCCGTGCTCCCACTCGGACCTCGAATTTCAGAATGCCTGGTTATGAAAAGCCAACTGACATTGACTCCTGAGGCGTTGAACTTTTGCACACTCTAGCTATCATGGTTATTATTTGACCCTGCTGGTCATCTATGAACATTTGAACGTCTGGATTTACAATCTGGCATTAATGGCCACATTACGGACATATTAAATCGCTCCCTATCCCAGTCCGCTGTCCCCACTTGCTTCAAGATGTCCACCATTGTTCCTGTACCCAAGAAAGCAAAGGTAACTGAACTAAATGACTATCGCCCCATAGCACTCACTTCTGTCATCATCAAGTGCTTTGAGAGGCTAGTTAAGGATCATATCACCTCTAACTTCCCTGACACCATAGACCCACTTCAATTTGCTTACCGCCCCAATAGGTCCATCGCACTGCACACTGCCCTATCCCATCTGGACAAGAGGAATACCTTTATGTAAGAATGCTGTTCATTTACTATAGCTCAGCATTCAACACATTTTACATTTACGTCATTTAGCAGACGCTCTTATCCAGAGCGACTTAGTTAGTGAGTGCATACAATTTTTTTTTTCATACTGGTCCCCGTGGGAACGAACCACACCTGGCGTGCAACGCATGCTTACCAACTGAGCTACACGGGACTACAACACCACAGTACCCTCCTGATTACCAACAATGACGAGACAGCCTACAGGGAGGAAGTGAGGGCCCTGGGAGTGTGGTGCCAGGAAAATAACCTCTCACTCAATGTCAACAAACTCCTGAGTGGCACAGTGGTCTAAGGCACTGCATCGCAGTGCTAACTGTTGCCATTAGAGATCCTGTTCGAATCCAGGCTCTGTCCAGCCGGCCGCGCCGGGAGACTCATGGGCGGCGCCACAATTGGCCCACGTCGTCTAGGGTAGGGGAGGCGAATGGCCGGCAGGGATGTAACTCATTGATAGAGCATGGGTTTGCAACGCACAGGGTGTGGGTTGATTCCCACGGGACCAGTATAAAAAAATATTAATCACTAACTGTAAGTCGACTCTGGATAAGCGTCTGCAAATGACTTAAATGTAAATGTAAAATGTAAAACAAAGGAGATGATCGTGGACTTCAGGAAACAGTAGAGGGAGCACACCCCTATCCACATCGATGTGACTGCAGTGGAAAAGGTGGAAAGCTTCAAGTTCCTCGGCGTACACATCACTGACTATCTGAAATAGACCACCCACACAGACAGTGTGGTGATGAGGGCACAACAGCGCCTCTTCAACCTCAGGAGGCTGAAGAAATCTGGCTTGGCACCTAAAACCCTCACAAACTTTTATAGATGCACAATTGAGAGCATCCTGTCGGGCTGTATCACCGCCTGGTACGGCAACTGCCCCGCCTGCAACCGCAGGGCTCTCCAGAGGGTGGTGCGGTCTGCCCAACGCATCACCGGGGGCAAACTAAAAACTGTAAGTCACTCTGGATAAGAGCGTCTGCTAAATGACTAAAATGTAAACGTAAAGTACCTGCCCTCCAGGACACCTACAGCACCCGATGTCACAGGAAGGCAAAAAAGATTGTCAAGGACAACAACCACCCGAGCCACGGCCTGTTCACCCCACTATCATCCAGAAGGCGAGGTCAGTACAGGTGCATCAATAGAATGGCGCCGGAGAAGATGGCTGCCGTTTTACAGCCCTCTAACCAATTGTACTATTATGTGTGTTTTTCCGCGTTATTTGTAATTTATTTTGTACATAATGTTTCTGCCATCGCCTCTTATAACCAAAAAGAGCTTCTGGATATCAGGACAGCGATTACTCACCTCGTATTGGACGAATAATTTTTCTTCAACGAGTCGGCCGCAAAGGATATCCTACAGACACCCGACAAGGCCCAAATCCCCGTCATTCGCATGAGGAAGAGACGGAGATATCGTGGACGTAGGTCGGGGTGCCTTGTAAGGATCCGACGGCGAGCGAGTAAACTGCCGCTCAATCCTATTAGCCAATCTTCAAACATTGGAAAATAAATTGGATGACCTAAGATTACGGTTATCCTACCAACGGGACATTAAAAACTGTAATATCTTATGTTTCACCGAGTCGTGGCTGAACGACGACATGGATAACATACAGCTAGCGGGCTATACGCTACATCGGCAGGATAGAACGGCTGACTCCGGTAAGACAAGGGATGGCGGTCTGTGTACAGTGGGGAAAAAAAGTCTGGATTTTTTTCTTCTCAATTTGACTGTCATAGTTGACGTGTACCTATGATGAAAATTACAGGCCTCTCTCATCTTTTTAAGTGGGAGAACTTGCACAATTGGTGGCTGACTAAATACTTTTTTTCCCCACTGTATATTTGTAAACAACAGCTGGTGCACAAAATCAAATACTAAGGAAGTCTCAAGGTTTTGCTCGCCTGAGGTA